TAGAAAATGCATCATGATTTAAGAATTTTTAGATATTTGTACTTGAAATAAGAAAAAAATACTTAGTAAGAATAGCATTTTTGCAGCGTGCATGAATGAATGAAGTATTTAAACATCGCTTGCGCTTTAAAAAGGGGGAGGAGACCGAAAGAAACTCTGGGTTTACCGAAGAAAACCTGCTCCTGACCAGGGGCCCGTTTCAATAAGGAGGTTCAACCAACTCTGAGTTGAAACTCAAACTCTGAGTTGACTTACCCTGAGATGGGAAACTCTTGTTCGTGTTAGTTCAGTTGACTCTGAGTAGGTTGACTCATGACTTTACAAACATTTGACATATTAAATATCATTCAGTGTCTATTTCAATGCGCAGCATTTTTGTTGCTTTTGTATTTGAAGAAAATAAAGATGACCAAATAAATTGTAAATAATTTGTGTTTACTTAACAGCTGTGGTGGTGGTTACGGCATATATCTCATACTACCTCTCCATCTGGCATCCTTCCATTCCATACAGTAGGCTAATCTGATTCATTTTCAGAAGGTGCGATAATGGGAATATGCGTGTCATCAATGCAGCTGTAAGGAATTTAACTCATTAATTCTTGATAAGGGAATTAATCATTAATTTTATTTCTAGCTCAGGTTTGAAAGGACTCGGATCTGAAAATTCAAGTCCACCTGTTTAGAACTGATTTCAAATTTGTTATTTTACACCTTATCAGCTACTCGTCCTGCGAGACGTTAATGTCAGTGTATATTATAAATGCAACATGAATTTTATTGGCTATTCTAGATTACATCAAAACTAAGCTAAAACACTCATACACACACACACACATATACAGCATGTACAGCTCAGAATGAAAGTTGACGGAGTTCTGAGGAAGCCCAAAGTTTTAGCAAGATATTCGCTACAGTTCTCTTACTGGCATCCTGAGAAAATCACAAGCAGAGATTTGGCTTATGTTTACTGCTTAAAATTTAGATCGACACCAGTTCAGCAGAGATAAGATTTTGCTCGTTTACTTGCGTTTTGCTTTGGGTGACAGCTGAAAAGCTGAGTCTTAAAACGATTTCTACAATATTGACCTACAAGTCCAGTGAAACTACTCTTTGACGGATTTGTTCCCAGGAAAAAATTATCAGAAAGAGCGTGAGAGCGATGTACACTTTCCTTATCAGTCTGCATACAGCGGCTTTACTAATGTGCTCTGCGTCCTCTTCTACGGGATCCTGTATAAGAGGAGATGCCATTTTTGTCACTTTGACCGTGTCTACATGATGAACATATGCGTAATGAATGAATATATGCACTGCAAAAAATGCTTTCCTAACTTAGAATTTTTGTCTTCTTGTTTCCAATCTAAATATTCTTAAATCAATATGCATTTTCTACATAAAAAAGACATAAGGTATTTAGTCTTCTTTCCATTGGGGAAAAATTATTTAAGTGCATTTTTCTTATTTTGCTAATTATCTGCCAGTGGGGTAAGAAATTACAAATATGCTTGTTTCCGTTTGCATTAAGATTATTTTTCTTGCCCTATGGTGGACATTTTTACATGTTTTATGTAAAATGCAGTTAAAATGCACTTAAATTCACTTGTTTCCCCCTGGAAACAAGGCTAAATACCTTATATAATTTCTCATCTATAGAAATTGCATCTTAACGTAAGGTTTACCGAAGAAAAACTGCTCCCGACCAGGTTAGGTTCATAGTGTAAGTTACCACGGTTACCATTACTACAGCAATAAATGGAGACTGTCTGCGTGTCTAGAGATTTAATGCATGGAGAAAATGGCAATAACAACAACAAAATAATAAAGATAAGGGTTCTTGCTTTTGGATTATTATTATAATATAAGCTCTGTGACCAACAAAAAGTTTCTTGTTTCTTACATGTTTTGTTCATCATGATAATCTTCACAAATGAACATGTTTATGAATTGTGAAGCCTAAATACAATTACCAGAAGTAAAAAGGGAAATGTAGGCTACAAATGTACTACACCACGGTCGCTTGACGTCAACGTCACCCTCACTAAGCTTCTGACAACTCTGTCAGTCTTTGTTACTTACTTTGAGTGTGTGTCAGAAGAGCAGGGAAGTTTGGGGGCATAATATCAGAGACCACTGTGGCCTGTCAGGCCTGTCAATCAACCTGTCACAGTTAACATCCTCAAATACACACACTCCACATTTCAGGTAATTTATTTTCATACATTCCAAATACAAAAAGAGCATTATATATTCACAACAATCTTTTGCAAAATTTCTTTTTTTTTCTTTTTTCTAAATGTGTCTTATTAGCAAACATGAACAGACAGCAACATATTTCCTCACAGTTCCTCTGCAGAGATTGCATCCCCCTGTACCAATCCTCTAAGGATGTAGATTCTACAAAGTACTAAATCACCATACAAATGTTACATGAAAGCTTCAAGAGTATGTTTATAGAGGGTGTTGCATCAATGGGTGGGTTTTGGGTCCTGTGACATTTCATAAGGTATTTAGTCTTCTTTCCATTGGGGAAAAATTATTTAAGTGCATTTTTCTTATTTTGCTAATTATCTGCCAGTGGGGTAAGAAATTACAAATATGCTTGTTTCCGTTTGCATTAAGATTATTTTTCTTGCCCTATGGTGGACATTTTTACATGTTTTATGTAAAATGCAGTTAAAATGCACTTAAATTCACTTGTTTCCCCCTGGAAACAAGGCTAAATACCTTATATAATTTCTCATCTATAGAAATTGCATCTTAACGTAAGGTTTACCGAAGAAAAACTGCTCCCGACCAGGTTAGGTTCATAGTGTAAGTTACCACGGTTACCATTACTACAGCAATAAATGGAGACTGTCTGCGTGTCTAGAGATTTAATGCATGGAGAAAATGGCAATAACAACAACAAAATAATAAAGATAAGGGTTCTTGCTTTTGGATTATTATTATAATATAAGCTCTGTGACCAACAAAAAGTTTCTTGTTTCTTACATGTTTTGTTCATCATGATAATCTTCACAAATGAACATGTTTATGAATTGTGAAGCCTAAATACAATTACCAGAAGTAAAAAGGGAAATGTAGGCTACAAATGTACTACACCACGGTCGCTTGACGTCAACGTCACCCTCACTAAGCTTCTGACAACTCTGTCAGTCTTTGTTACTTACTTTGAGTGTGTGTCAGAAGAGCAGGGAAGTTTGGGGGCATAATATCAGAGACCACTGTGGCCTGTCAGGCCTGTCAATCAACCTGTCACAGTTAACATCCTCAAATACACACACTCCACATTTCAGGTAATTTATTTTCATACATTCCAAATACAAAAAGAGCATTATATATTCACAACAATCTTTTGCAAAATTTCTTTTTTTTTCTTTTTTCTAAATGTGTCTTATTAGCAAACATGAACAGACAGCAACATATTTCCTCACAGTTCCTCTGCAGAGATTGCATCCCCCTGTACCAATCCTCTAAGGATGTAGATTCTACAAAGTACTAAATCACCATACAAATGTTACATGAAAGCTTCAAGAGTATGTTTATAGAGGGTGTTGCATCAATGGGTGGGTTTTGGGTCCTGTGACATTTCTGCCCCATGGCCCCTCATTTGATCCGGCACTGCTGTACATCCAATTAATCAAGACCCAAAGCACAGTAGGTAAAAGCTAAAAAGATCAGTAAACAATTGGACTGAGTGAAGGCAGCTGGTCTAAAAAAACTGAAGCTATGTGTGAAAACCTGAACAGATCGACCACTGAGAGGCAAATGAAAGCAGTAGTTTGCCTGGCTGAAGCTCAGAGAATGCACAGAGAGAATTGGCAGATCACTACGATGGAGACATGTTATTTTTGCTCACTTCTAAGTCGGTCAAAGAATCGATGCCCAGCAGGTGGTAATGAAGGCCAGAGTAAAAGACTGCACTTACTATAGTGAAGTTCATAACTTTGAGGATCCAGATGGTGAGAGCAAGGTTGACCACTATGAGGATCATGAGGAGTAGGACAAAGAAGTAAAGGCAACGTTTCCGCCAACCATAGATCCCCACTTTATACACTTGTGGTTTTTCAGTATTCTGGACATTGTTTCTTTGAGGGCACTGTTCCTGGGTCATCTGCAAGAAAACACAAATAAAATGTTAATTACGTTAATTGAAGATTCTGTCAGAGGCCTTAAAACTTGATTTAGATATCAATGACTCTTGTTGGTCCTAATATAATATTTATTTAAAAAAATACATTAAGAATGCAATTATTGTACATACTGTACAACGACATACACTTTTTTTTTTCTTTTTTCTTTTTTTTTTGACCAATAAAGTAATGTAATCCACCAAAATGAGGAAATATGCTGAAATAAACAGGAAATTGGATGACAAGTCAAGAAAAACAAGTTAAAGTATTGGTTGTACAATGTTATGTGGTGCAAATCCCCAAAACATTATGGTATTTATAAATTCATAATTTTATTATATTTGTTAAAGGATATGATGCTTTTTAAAGATCATTATTTTGTGTATTTGGTGTAACATTATCTTGGAAAAACAACATACATTTAGTAAAACAACAAAAACAGATATCTTTTGAAAGTAAATATTGGGATGTGTACTCTCACATATTCAGTGTGTTAGTAAAATATGTTCTTGTTTTACTTTTTACAAATTGGCACGTTAAAATAGCGCTTCAAAGGGAATCACAGCATGTCAAGCTTATTGTTATTAAAATAGGCCCTGATTTCAATTGAATTTGGGCATTGGGATTTTGATCATCTGCAATATGTTTGAGCACCCTTGCCCTTTTTAGCATCCTCTCTGTCTTATTGTAAATATGAATAGATGTAAATGTGTAATATATATATATATTATTATTATTATTATTATTATTATTATTATTATTATTCCAGGAGGCCACTGCTGTACCTACATTTCATCTCTAGAGAAAAGCTGCCAATTTCACATGTTTCAACATCTTACATGAGGTATTCACATATTATGTTTAAAATTTAAGAACAATAACTTCAAAATGCATTTTTACATGTTCTAACAAAGGTTACTTTCATACTCACAGTGTTAGGGGGTGGGTTTGTCTCCTCCAGAATTAAGGATAAACACCTCTTAACAAAATTTGGATAATATCAAAATATGCACATTAAAAAATTACATGTCTCTCTGCTGTTCTGATGTTTAGTGTATCGGCGCAGGAATGGGGTATCTGAGCCTCCATTTACCAAGACAAAGATTTATTGTAAAGTTGTGGATTGACTAATAGGATTCAATGAAGAAAAACAACATAATTCATTTGCTAATACTCTTCTGCAGGGGAAAGGCAAATTGTTGTGCATTTCTGTATCCAGCAGGAGGAAGACTCCTCACAGTTGACTTTGCTCCAAAAAAAAAGAAAAAAAAAACTATATGGACAAAAGTATTGGGAAACCCCCTTCTCATTAACAGGTTTGACTACTTTAGTAATAAAATCTGATGAGTTTTTGGCTCAAGGTCTGCATTTAAATTCACACTAGAGGTGTTCAGCTGGGACTGGGACTTTGCCTTCTGCAGACCAGTCAAGTTCTTCCACACTGACTGAATCAATCATTTATTTTTGAACCTTGATTTATACACTTAGACATTGTCATGTTAGAATAGAAAAAGGTCCTGTCCAAACTGTTGCTATAAAATTAGAAGCACACAATTCCCTAGAATATCATTATATGCTTAAACATTAAGATTTGTACTCATGAAAATGACTATGTCACGAGTTTGGTCCATGGACTTCCATTCACTCACCACCAGAGGTCACCCATCACCACTATGACTCTTTTCATGAACTGCAACACCTCCCCCCAGACTGCATTTCCCAGATCCCATTGTATTTTACTGATTACGGACTCACCTGCAGCCAATCACACACACACTTTAACAATCAGTCTCAAACCACCATTTAACGGCGAGTATTGTTAGTGTTTGTCACTATGTTAATGATAGATACATTACGGAGCCAGTTACTAGTCCTAGTTCTCGAGTCAAGTCTTGTCTAGTCTTGTTCACTGCCTGCTTTCACCCGCGTCTTGATCCTAGCCTGTTTACCTTGTCTTGTCTGATCTCTGTCTGTTCTGGAGTCATTGCCTGCCTTGGATTACCCTTTGTATTGCCTTCTCGGACTTTGTTTGCACCTTGCCTAGACTATTGCCTGTTTGTGGATTACCCGTTTGCCTCGCCCTCTGGATTATTTTTGCCATCGATTGACCCATGCCTGTCTTATGGATTACTCTTTCGTCTTGCCCTGCCTATATCTGTTTGCTGGTGTTGACCACTGCCTGTTTTGACCTTGTCTTTTAATAAAGCTTTGCATATGGATCCGCACGCCTCTCATCTCAGTCGCTCTGTAACAGAATACTCGGACACACAAGGATCCAGTAGCTTTTCAAATGGACATTGACCAGGTATGGACACTGCAAGACTGTTATTAGCCCTCGAGCAGGGTATGCGTTCGCTCGAGGACTATATCCAAGAGTATTTAGATCTCGCATATTTCTCTGATCTGCCGGACTGTGTACTGATAGACTTTTTCTGCGAGGGCGTTAATCAGCCGTTAAGGACTAAAATTGTTTGTGAGGGACCGCGTTCATCCCTTAGTCAGTTTATAGATTATTCTCTGTTTTGTGTTGGCTCTTTATTTGCTCTGGGTTTTGCAGAGGAAGAACGAGACATCACTTCCATGCCGGGAATTCGGCGGCTGCGAAGTACCGCAAGCTCTGGGACATTCGAGTACACTGATCGCTACTCCAGTGATTAGACTCGCTCATGAAATGGCGGCCGCACCAGAGCGCACTCACATAATGGCGGCGACAGCGAGGCCTGTTCGCAAGATGGCGGTGACAACAAGGCTCTGTCAAGTCACAGCTGCCAGTCCTGAGTCAAGTCAAGTCACGGCCGATCTTCCTTTGTCAAGTCAAGTCACAGCCGATTTTTCTGAGTCAGGTCAAGTTACAGCCGATCTTCCTGAGTCAAGTCAAGTCACAGCTGATTTTCCTGAGTCAAGACAAGTTACAGCTGATCTTCTTGAGTCAAGTCAAGTCACAGCTGATCGTCCAGAGTCTCGTCACATCACCGCTGATCTCCAGAGTCAAGTTACGTCACCGCTGATCGTCCAGAATCTCGTCACGTTACAGCTGATCATCCAGAGTCTTGTCACGTCACCGCTGATCGTCCAGAGTCTTGTCACATCACAGCTGATCGTCCAGAGTCTCGTCACGTCACCGATGATCGTCCAGAGTCAAGTCATGTCACAGCTGATCACCCAGAGTCTCATTATGCCACCGTTGATTGTCCAGAGTCTCTTCACATCACTGCTGATCGCCCGGAGTCAAGTCACGTCATCGATGATCTTCCAGAGTCTTGTCACGACCTGTCTGTTGCACCCAAATCTTCGAGGTCAGTTCTTCAGTATCCCAGACTGGCATCCAGCGTGGAGGATCCACCGCTGGTGTAAGCCCGTGTAGCTAGTATCCCTAAACCAGCGCTCTCAAACCCTTCTGTCCCAGAAGTAATCCCCATATCTGCAGCATTTCCTATATGGGGTTGCTTTATGGTGTGTTTGTGCTACATACACTACCACTGAAACTCCAGAGTCAGCGACACCCGTGGAAGGATCTCTGCTGAGGCTGCAGAATGGCGGTGCCCACTGCAGATCCTCCAGAGGTGGCGGCTGAGTCTGCAGAACCTCCAGAAATGGCAGTGCCTGCTCCAGATCCTCCAGAGGTGGCGGCTGAGGCTGCAGAACCTCCAGAAATGGCAGTGCCTGCTCCAGATCCTCCAGAGGTGGTGGCATATGCTGCAGAACCTTCTGCAGAAGGATTGCCCTTTGCATTCCCTTCTCGGACTTTGTTTGCACCTCGCCTGGACTATTGCCTGTTTGTGGATTACCCATTTGCCTTGCCCTCTGGATTATGTTTGCCGTCGATTGACCCACGCCTGTTTTATGGATTACTCTTTCGTCTTGCCCTGCCTATATCTGTTTGCTGGTGTTGACCACTGCCTGTTTTGACCTTGTCTTTTAATAAAGCTTTGCATATGGATCCGCATGCCTCTCGTCTCAGTCGCTCCGTAACAGACTATAGTATTAGAAGGGGGTGTCCCAATACTTTTGTCCGTATGGTGTAAATGTAAAACTACTGTATTTTAACAGAAATTATTTGGCTTATGAATCAGTGACATACAGTATAAAAGTGATCACGATAAATCTTTTTTTAATAGAAAAAAATGCAGCATTTAATATAATTTTTTTTTACATTTAAAATACAAGTTCCAAGAAATGTATTCTTTATATTTACAGTATGTTGGTTTCACAAGGTTTGAAAAAGTTGTATTCCATTTTCAAGAAAAAAATCAATTTAATTATTCTAAAAATGTCATATGTTATAACTATCAAATGATACTATACAGCATATTCCTTCCACATTGAGAGTACAGATCTTAATAAGATTCATGATTTTACAAATATTTTTGTTTTATTTTTTATGAATTATTTTACAATTTTACAAATATCATGAATTTTCATGAATTAAGTTTTCAAAGCTAAATTTATCTTGTCAAAAAGGTCAAATTATCTGAAATTATTACTGACATTGAGACAGTTATGAGACGTGGTCTGCTCTATGATACTTGTTTTTGCATCTTGAGTTGCATCTTATTAATATTAAGAAGTCAGTTCTGTCAATTTTGTTTATGCCAAACTACTTAAATATTTTTTTTCATGCATTGATTATAATTTTTTTTATTTATATCAGCACAGTTTTATCATCCTGACATTTTTATATAATATTACATTTTAAATATAATTTTAATTGAAAACTAAATACATGCTTATAGTTGAAGGGGTGAATTACAATCTTTGTATGAATTAACCAATAATAATAACAACAACAATAATAATAATAATAATAATAATAATAATAGATCAAACAGCAGAAACTCTCATTTAGTTTTTTTCAGTTCATCTTAACCTTCATGCTGAATGTTCAGTCTTAACTATTTTCTAAATTACATCAATACATTTCATTCTAACAATTTCTTAATTATCTGGAAGCTCAGTTTTATTTATGCAAAGTGTAGTTGAA